AATGGCGGGTTCATGATTCTGATTGTGACTGCTTCTGCCGTTGCCAAACGTACTTTGACTTGTTTTGGGGCACTTTGTAGATTAATCTAAATGCATTGTTGTCTAGCTGGCACCCGGTATCAGTGAAGTGGGCCATAATTGCGTTGCTTCGGTTTTTCGTGTATCCCGTGCTTAGCCAGGTCCGTTTGTATTCTCCGATCATTTGTGAAAACGGTCTCCCTGTTCGTCCTACATAACATGCCGAATATGCAAGTGAATGCATACGTAATCTTGGATGGGGAGAAAAAAAGCCAGCTTATTCTTAGGGTTTGCACAGAGCTTCGGCTGACTTGTAAATGTAGGACATGTTCGTTTGAGTGCTTTGTCCAAAACTCTTCTTAGTAGATCACCACTCGAATTTTCTTTGAAGGGGAGCTGCAACAATAGTTCTTTATGCCAACCGAAGAAAATGGTCAGCGCATTCCAATTCACTTGCCCCACCCCCAACCTACGGGATGAGCCGAACCACAACCTCAATCAAGTCGTGATGACGTAACGTGGCGTGTGACTAAAAGGTTATCAAAAATTTCCAGAAGTGACCTTGGTTCCAATCCCCTCTCAGTGTGCTCCTATAGAACTTGACAGGTGATGTTGTTCTTTCCCATTTACCCCAGTGGACCCATCACATTTGTGTATATCCTATATAAAAACACCTCACTGTCATTACATCCAGGAGAAGTTATGAGAAAATCTACTTCGCTATATTTTTCTCTTTTGATATCATGAGAATCTTCCACGAGAATTCGATTATTGTATTGGCATATAGCTTTTTTTGTTTCTGGGTACCATCCAAGAACAGAACGAACGTTTGTCTTTATATCATTATATGAGAAAATAGCCGAAATTTGACGTTTTCCCGGTATTTTTCCTTTGAATCACTTATTTTGTGTGCACGAAACGTACAAACGTACCAAATTATGATTCAAAGTTCACTATTTCATCACAGCTTCTGCAGTTTTGCTTGCGTACTTTTTAAAAAAAGAGCAGAAAGCTCACATTGTTATTCCCTATGAATTGTTCTCGAATGTAAAATTGAATACATTATATTTTTGACTATCACTTATTAAACCGCACTCTTAAAATCATTTGTTGTGGCATGCCTTTTGTTTGGCCACATAAGAAATCTGAATTGTCGCGTTTTTTCATTTCAGAAGCCTCGTGCGATTTCCCCCCATGGAACATGAACGACTCCGAATTTTATGGACCGATCAGAAATGTCCTCAGAAACATCATTATTTGTGCTGGCGAACCACTCGTACCGTCGGAGAGCATCTTAGAACTGTTTTATCAACATTTGATTTCGGTGACCACATCCTGGATCATGAAGTTCCAAAATACCAACCTCACCTTTGAAGGTATTCTTCGTGTTATACAAAACCAACCGCGAAAGTTGAATCGCGTGTTTAATTACTTTCGAGTTCTGGCGGGTACATCTGAATTCAGTTTGGCGGAGGGGGATGACTTTTCATTGGATTCTTCTCGAGCACTCAATCGATTTTATGATTTATGCAATACGTTGAAGATAGTCCTTCCCCAAGACCAAACAGCTACCGTCGTACAGTCCCCGTTTATGAAAGGTCAAAAGTTGCGCCTTCATCGAATAGATCGTAGAATATCTCTCATGTCTGTCGAAGAATACCTGGAGTTCACAAAACTTCGACAATCTGCCAGTTTCTTGAGCCTGATCAAACTTGGTGCGAAACAGACGTTCAAACTTTGGATTATGCATTGTGAAAACTCTCTTGATGATCACACGAAAGAGCGTCAGTCTCTATTTTCAGCCTGTTCCGAAAAGGACGACCGAACCGGCTTGTGCTTGTTGGCCCATTTGATCACAGATGATATCCTAGACTTGATAGATGTTGTGCTCTATTTACGTCGTAAGTTCGCCATTGAATTATCATCCCCTTTAACGCCGATCGAAATCAAACAGGGTATCCAACAACTGAGACTACTTTCAAGCTCCTTTTAGAGTTCAACAACACCGAACTCTTGTTTGCATTTCATTGATAGTCGATTGTACATGAACTGCCTTGTAAATAAACACGTCTCCTTCGTTTTTCGTCGGTTTTCTTGACATGAATATTCCCAATCGTAATTCAGAGATCAAGTTTTGTACGCCATAATAGAAGCATTGCGGTTTCATTTTATCCACTTTTGACCATACCTCGATGCCACTCGGACATTGATCCATGATGAGAAATAGATGACTCTCAAGCAAAACATCTTTGAATCTCTTATGGTTGCAATTGGGCTATGCTGTTCATTTAGATAAAAAGCCTGTAGCAAAACAACAACCGGAGTCCGATCCAAAAACACATCCTTGTACTGGTTTCGTTTAAAGAAGTGACAGTAATCCATGGTTCAAAGAATGATCTTGTACTAATCTTCCGGGTCTTAGAAGGTCCTTTCCTATAATGCGTTAAACGACGTGGTCCTCGCATTGTTACCTACTGTAGGGATATGAGAAAGTTTCAGTTGGTGGAAGCCGCAATTCAGGTTACAGTTTAAAGGGTAAGGACTGTCTTCACCCAGAAACGCGGATCGGAATAAAAGTCGGAGGCGAGAACGCCATATAATATCTAACAAAACTCCGGGATTGCTAATGATGTCTGTGTCGAAAATAAACATCCTGGGTATGAGTGGATGCAAGAAACGACAAAACATTACCGGATAGGCATACCTGAAGAGCGACCAGATCCGCGAAATCAGTCGCGACTCTGGAGGAATTTTGTCAAGTCAACCTAATACGACTTATTATAAAATAAATATACACATACCTATGTGTATATACATATAACCTAATCGAAAATATGGATTGTTCGATCTCTTCTCTATGTGCGAATATAAGTACGAGATGTTAAAAGTTAATTTATTCAAAAAACAAACAAACAAATACGGACTATGTGGAGCTATGGACCGAAGTTAATGCGCTTGTTAGATTTGTCACGATCGTTATGTCGGTTGTACCATACAGTTTAATGCGAACCGAAATCAACTTGAAAGATCTTGGCCATTGATGGAGTGAAGCACGGCATCCGCGCACGGAAGTGTTTGCTTTGCGTGAAAACAAACGTTCGATTCGGACTTCGTGATTATTACTGAAAATTCCACTATGATGGAATAAAAGTACTGATCAAGCATGCGCCTCCTCGTGGGGGAATCAATTATCGCCCCTATTGTTCAGACCAATTCGCACAATGATTGTGTCAACCACAGGATTATAGGCCCAATCCCAGTAGCGTAAAGACTGTTGACGTCTGTTATTCTTCGCGTACTGTACAGTACGCATGAAGTGCAGTCTCTTCAGTTTCGGTGACTCTAGATACATGCTATCGTTGTTTTGTCGCAATGTAGCAGCAGCGCTCTCGCAACTGCCGGGATTGTTAGGCGTTCTCCGTCCTTATTTCATTGATTTGAACCCTACGGCGGATATGGAGCGACCGAGGGTGTCACAATACGGTGTAATGTGATTGCATTTAGTGTAAATACTTTGCATCGGATTAAATTACCGGACTTCTGGCAAGCCCCTCTCGGCATAGTTGTTTCGTGGTAGTGAACGTGATGTCGGTATCTTCCACAATAAATGCACCTCATGAATGCAATTATAACTGGCTCATGGGCTTTCGACTATGATTCGGTATTTCATCAAACGATGTATAAGCCTTGTGCCCCTCACTTAACCCTTACAATAAACATTCAATGGTTGCACCAAACCATTGTAGATACGAAGAACACTTGAAACTCGACGACCTCATTATTTCGTCAACGACTAAGTGCCGCGTTACTGTTCTAGACAAGTGCTCGAATTGCACGATATACGCATGGTTCTTCAGATCAACGTCACATCAATGCGAATGAAAACGGCATTTTGTCCACGTGTTCACACTTCCTCAAAGAATGAGCGCATGTTAGAATGTAACTGGATACATAACGCCCTTGGACGTTCTTATGAGATTCCGTACAACGTACAGTGGGAAATGATTGTCTAAATATTTTACACAAGAAATGAGAAAACATAAAGCTGACCTGGACCTAACACAAATAGCCTTGGCGTCGACAAGAACACTCATGCTTGATACCGGATGAGCATTGTGCTAGGTTGAGGCAGGGTGTGTGACAAAGATTTCCCGGAGTCTAGTCTTCTATGCAATGCGAATGAGGGATGCGTCTACTCGAAAGCTTTTGTGGGTCCCATTTAGAGAAAATTCTTCCTGTTGCACAGTTGATGACTTGATCTAATCACCTTGATTTGCTTTCTGGCTTATGATCATTCGAGTGACCTCCACAGAATTTACTCCAACCGTTTTCAATAAATTAGACCTATCCAAACGGGAATGAAATTCATAACACAGCACTCCACTTGCCTTTGTTTATTCAGTTTGAATAACACTTTCACCGTTCCTCTTGATAAACTATCTGTAATTTTCATACATCGTCTATTCACAAGCAACTAGTGTCTTGCACTTTTGCCGAAGTGATTTGAGGTACAATTTAGCTGGTCATCAACGTACACTATTCCCATGATTTGTTTCGACAGACCCATCTCCTGAACCGGAAATCCACAAGGAAATATACGCCCCAGGACGTCATACAACGCCGGAACCCAGTGACCTTCCCCAGCTGCATTTATAGGGGGTAGGATGGACCTTAGTGGACGACTGCACGTTCTTTCATTGAGGTTTGCAACACTAAGCATGCGCCTCCTCGTGGGGGAATCAATTCTCGCCCCCTATTGTTCAGACCAATTCGCACAATGATTGTGTCAACCACAGGATTATAGGCCCAATCCCAGTAGCGTGAAGACTGTTGACGTCCGTTATTCTTCGCGTACTCTAAAGTACGCGTGAAGAGCAGTCCCGCAAGAGGCAGGTGGGACTTCGCGTGAATGCGCCGATCAAACCCCACAGTCTCTGACAAATGCCAGCACCGTGATGCTCAACAGAGAACTACGATCATTGTGTTCCTTTGACTCCATGGATGGACTTGGCTGCTGAGATATTTAGTATCTCCAAAGTATGTGTCGATCCTCTAAGTGTTGTAATTTTTTATAACACACCAGTGTGCAACGAACAGCAGTCAGGGCGGACCCCCTTTTTAAAAATTTCACACCTAAGTGTGATGAACAGCAGACGGAGCAAACCCCATAGTCACTAGGACCTACTGTTCAGTGGTGGAAACCGGAAGCCTAAGCCCCGGGGCTTGGAGTGGCGAACCACATAAGACTCCGATAGGTTAGGCGTGGTATTGAACCAGAAGACAGTAAAAGCTGCCTACTACCGATTGGATTAGTGACTACGATCAGCTTTCACCACCCACTTTCATCTTCAATGGCATGCGACAAAGCTACGCTATATCCTCATTCTTTTTCAACTTTGTCACGCAGCATGTCTGACACAATGTTGTGTCTGGTCTAGGAAAACGATGGGTTTGAACTCCTCACGGAGAGCAGGAATGTGGCCAAGAATATACCGACGACATTACCTTGTTTAATGAAAATACATAAAGGCTCCAACAATGTTCTAGCCGTGTTGGTAATCGAAGTATGCAGGCATGGTAAGTGCATTGCATCATCCGGACGCAGTGCGCTTGCACTTAACTAGCAGGGAGCTGTGTCTACACTCACTCTTTGTGGTGCACAGCTAGACATAGTTGAAAGCTGTGTTGTGAGGCACCACTCACATTTGTGAGAAGTTAGCAAAAGGATGAGGTCGGTGGTTTCTTTCCACGGTCGAAAATGAACAAGACCTTTTGGAGCGAATTGCTGTGTTCACTGAGATAACTACAGGACTGCGCATTTACTGTTAAACCGTTCCATTAATTATTCTGTGTGCGTGGGAATTCAGAAGACTCGTTCCAAATGAGACATTTGGTTGTATGTATACCAATTTACTCTGACCGTTATTTATAATAACCATCCTCGTCCCGGCACCGTCTTGTGGATTTATAACATCGGTAGCTTGAACAAATTCAATGTTTTATTCTGGGAATTAGAAACACCATCGGCGGAAAGATTACATACCGAACGAAGAAAACTAGAGTATTTTTCTGTACTCAACCACCGACGTCGTCCAAGAATCTCCCCATCTGCTAGGGGGCATGGGGAATGAAAGGATGATGTTTGTCGTACAGTGTTCCATGCTAACAGTCGCCGATTGAACGAGGAAGTCGTATGCTACGGCTCAGCTATTTTTTCTCCAAGCCCACCTATCATCTACCGTTGTGCTCTTTTTGCACGTGCTAGACAAGGCTGCATGAAGTGACGTGGTGTAGGGTATGCATGCCTGACGAGTGGCAAGCTCCGCGAAACCAGTCATCCTACTCCGGAGAGAGTCTCAAGTCAACCACACTACTTATTGTAACGTATATATGTATGCGTGTATGTATCCATCTATGTATGTATTCATATGTACATCCGACCTAGTAGAAAATATTGATTGTTCGATCTCTTCTCTATGTGCGAATATAAGTACGAAATGTTAAAAGTTAATTTATTCAAAAAACAAACAAACAAATACGGTCCATGTGGAGCTATGGACCGAAGTTAATGCGCTTGTTAGATTTGTCACGATCGTCATGTCGGTTGTAGCATACAGTTTAATGCGAACCGAAGTCAACTTGAAAGATCTTAGCGACTGAACGTGAAACAGTGGTAGTTATCAGCGTGGCAGTTTTCTGATGGTGTGAAACACGGTATCCGCGTACCGAAGTATTTGATTTTGCGTGAAAACAAACGTTCGATTCGTACGTATTGATTATTACTGAGAATTACACCGTGACTGAATGAAAGTACTGACAGATTACCGACAGGTTTCGCTGTCAGTCGACGATCAGCTAAGTAGCAAAACTAAAAGGAATATAAGGGTCGGCAAAATGACTGTGGAGAGCGCTGCATTATCACAAAACACGATTTTACACAGATTCTTCTATCACTTGTGACTTGTGTTGTGATTTTTCGATTTTATCCCGATC